CCGCTTCGATCCGACTTCTTTGGTACGTCGCCCTCCTGGCCGATGTCTTCTTTACCGTGATTCTGGTCCTGGGTCTCCTCGTTGCAACCATCTTCCTCCATGTTAGGGTCAACATGTTTACCGTTCCCAGCAGGGATTTCGCCCCCAACCTTATCCTTCTGTCCGTTGCTGGCCATCTATCCTCCTTTCTTTCCCATAGACGGCGCAAAATTGTGTGAGTGAATTTCTGACCACACTGCCAACTCAGTATTCAACTGGAGAGCATTGGCAGAATAGATGGCACCTGAATGACTTGTAATAGAAAGAAAGAGATTTCGGTGGTGGTTCGTCCACCCGGGGGCAGTATGACGATCAAGTCAGTTATCTCTCAAAGATAATCAATAGAGCTTAACTCACTGTTCAGAATGTAAATTGCGTACCTTAGACCCATGGGGGTGCCTCTCTTTTATAGTTAACCCAATCTTAGTCCTAATAGAAGCCTAGCTTCAATGGACTTCTGCTTAGTGCTTATCATGGACTCTTCAATAAATAAAGATAAACTCTCTAAGAGCTTTATCCTTATCCAGGCTGAAGTCTTTCCTCATTCTAGGATTCTTGTCCCTTATCCGCTTACCCCGGAATCTGAAATCTTCGGAGATAACCTCGGCCTAGCCGAGATCACCTCGGCGTTACAACCAGGACACGTGGCACCTCGGCTGACACGTCGACGTCACCTTGGCCACCTGTTGGTGCTCAAAAGATATGTCCCCACAATATATGTACACAGTGGTATAATGGTAATTTCATATTGGGGAAGTGGGTACCGGGCCGGGCCGGGGCCGGGGCTGTGAAACATATCACAGTCCCCGGCCCGAAAATGGTTGGGGATTTATTTTTAAATACCATCTCCGGCCCGTCGGGGGTATTTTTCGGGAAAAAACCGTTCCAATCGGGGTCGGGGGGTCGGGTCCCCGTCAGGCCGGTTTCAAATTGCCATCCCTAGTTTTACCCTTCCAAAGATATAAACACCCATGCATCCACCCATAAAAGTTGTTTAGTCTTTTCAAACAGGTACACTGATTTTTTAACTTTTTATTTTTTGGTACATGCCAAACACATATTAGAACTCTTTAGTTTTCGTTTAGTATTGGCTTTTTTAGCTGATTTTTTTTTTTTTGTGTTGGGGCTTTTTTAGCCTCGTTTGGTTTGGCTTTTTTGACTTTTGTAAGAGAAAAAGTATAATGATTATGATGTGGATGTGATATTTTGGCAGTGTTGGTAACGGGTTAAGCAGGCTATTTAAGCCCAAAATATAAAAAAATTTGTGTAGCCGCATTGTAGCTAAGTTGGAAAGCTACAGTCCAGCTGGATGGCATTAGCTAGGTAAAAAGACATGTTTACCCTCTGTTGCTCATATCCAAAAACCAAAAAAAATACTACTGTAGACGAGGCTTTCATATCTCTTATCTTACCACCTGTACTTTGGGTCGAAATGGAGGATTTGAGAAAATAGTGAGGTACCTCTCTTCGGCAGCTTTTACTTCGACGGGACTGTTGCATAAAGACCAAGGAGCAGACTGTCTTGCTCACCAATCGTCGAAAACCTGCAACAGGTACAATAGCCAAACTCAATTTCTGTGCTTCTTCTTCATTGGCGAACTTGGTCTTACTAGTTTTCAACCCATTGTTTCAGATCTTACTGTGATTTGGTTGGTATTGATGGTATTTTCTTTTTTCTTTCACCGATTTGCACCTATGAACTTCTTTTCCCCTATATATATTTTTTTATTTTTTTTGTTGTTCCAACTTCGGTGGTTCAGTCGTCATTGGACTACAAAATACGACAAAACAACCGACGAACTGGAAGTGTTAATGTTGTTTTATTTTTTTTTCTTCCTTCAGATCTTACTGTGATTTGGCTAGAATTGCAAGTGTTAATTAATTTTTTACAAACAAAATTTTGAACCCCAACGGAACACAGGACAAACGATGGCAGTGTCCTCACTGCCACGTGGACATCTACCTTGTGTATTTTGTAAATATCTGTATGGGCAGTTTGGTCAATTTACATTCCACCATCATTTCAAATACATTTTCCAATACAATAACTCCTAAAAAATCAATCATATATTTCCAAACACAAAAACTAAAATAGTCTACTAAAATAGCCAAAAAACCACTTCCCAAACACCCATTTTGTCTTGTTAGCTTATTTAGCATATTTTGTCATTTTATACTTTTTTAGCCCAAAAATGTTAGCCAAACAAAGCTTTAGTTTCTTAATTTTTTTAATAAAAAAGACAACATCCCAAACATAGCATGAGTTACACAAATTTTATTTTTTTGTTACTATTAATGTTTTGTCGTAAGTATTCTATAACAAATAGATATATAATAATTCAATTGGTAAAATTTTAAAAAAATGAATTTTCTAAAATTACAAAAATTATACTTTCGGTCAAGTATATATAATTACATTATCAACGAAATTCGTAATTATAATTCATTATACCACAATTTGTCAAGTGATATAACAATCTTATTTTATTTTTTGTCTCTTCCTTTCTCCCACTCATCTTCTATCTCTCTTTATTTTTAAGGCGATATAACAAAAAAAATTGAAATGAAATATTTAAATATTTATATTTATTTCAGTAAGTACATTAGGAAAAATATTACCGTATTAGTAAAATTTAGTTTGTCAATTGATAGAGTATGATATATTTAAATTGATTGTAAAATATAAGGGTATTTTAAATTTTTTTAAAATTTAACTTTATTTGTAAGCCATGTTAGATTTATGTCAATCAATACAAATTGAAGAGTCACTTAATCAATTTGTTTATGTAAATATTTTTTTAATTGGTAAACATACATTATTAGTAATTTTTTTCATAATAAAATGTACGTATTTATGCATATTTAATAGATTTTAAAAAATAGGTTAATTGTAATTTTTTTTTATAGTGTTGTAATTATGGTTGTAATTTCACTTTAATCTAGATAATTGTAGATATTTTTATAATATTTTTAAGGGATACTTTTTCATAACTCCCTTTTCACCTACATATGTTCCATTTAGGCCTCGTTTGGGAACAAATTATTTTAGTTACTTTTTACGAAAAGATCTATAGAAAAACAGAGAGAGTGATGTAACAACTTATAATAACTTTGTAACTTTTTAAATAAAATAGTTACTCCCCAAATGAGGCATCACATTATTTTTTTATGTTTCAATAAGTCCTATGACTGACATAGTTACCAAAATACTCTTAATAATATTCACATTTACAGTGTGAATGTTCATGCCATCAATATAAATGTTAACATGTCGATGTGAATGTTTACACTGTCAATGTGAGCATTCACACATCAATATGAATATTTACATTGTAAAATATGAATGTTCACATCATCAAATTGCTAACCGTTTAAAAAATATTTATAAGGATAGAAATCTCCATAAAATACTTTAAATATGAGAATTAGGATTTGGTAAATCAAATGTCCAAATAATAGGACTTATTTGAATACAAAAATATCTTATAAACTAATTGAGATATAAGCACCTGAAAAATGATTTTCAAATAAATCTCCCTATTTTTAAACATAATTAAACAAAATTAAACAAATATTTGTTTATGTAAATATTTTTGAATTGATATTTTTAAACAAAATCAACTGTAGATAAAAATATTAAAGAAAAAATTATTACGTAATTTTGAAATAATGCTACACACTAATTGTCAATTAATACATATTATGATGTCACAAAAATATTAAAAGCAAAAAATAATAATAAAATAAAATAAAATCAATACTAAAAAGAGATATTAATAAAGATTTGGTTGGATTTTGATCTATCACTTTACAATAAAGAGTCCATTGACATATTTTTTTATTATATAAATGACACTATCACATCATTTTAAGATAAAATTTTACATACAAATTCTAGTGAAATAATATTTTCCAAAAAAAAAAAAAAATTGGTTACAGCAAAAAAAAAAATGGCAAGTCGAGAGTAGAAGGACAAATGATACATAAAATATGAAATGTAAAAATAAAAAATGGTCAGAACTAAAAATAAAATAAAAAATAAAAATAGGTGAACTTAATAGATGAAAGAGTATGTTTAAAAAATACATAGCCATTGTTTGGGAAGTGGGTTTGGGACTAAAACAGCCACAATAAATAAAATAGGCTTTTTAGTCCTCAATAAGACAAAACATCACATTCAATCCAATCACATTTAATCCATAATCATTACATTCTTTCTCTCATAAAAAAGTTAAAAAAGCCAAAAACTCTTCTCAAACTAGACTTTTTAATTCCACGCTAAAATAATCAAAAAAGCTAAAAAGCTAACCCATTTCACAAACCAAGCCATAAACTATAATTAATCTCCAATTGTCTCATAAATATAGAGTAACAATAATGAGTTGCATTATTGTATAAATATAATATTTATAAGATGAAGAGATCGTGAATGATTTAAAAAGTGTATAATATATCACAGCTAGGGTTTTAGAGTAGTAGAAAAAATTGGTTAGAGAAAGAGTGCACAAAAATGATCTTCTTCATCTTTCATTTTCTAAATCATAATTCAGAAATCATGGTTTTTTTAAACTATTTTTTAAACTTAAAAAGTCACAAATTTAGTATGAAAAATAGCCAAATCAATTTATTTATAGGGAAACAATTTAATTATAGGGAAACAGTTAAAACAGTTTTCCAAATTAATTATAAGGAAACAAAATCAATTAAACAAAAAAATTTAAATAGATTTGAATTGTTTTTTTGTTTATTTTATTTTAAAAAAATGAAAGATTTTATGTAGAGATTTTAGAAGATAGGCAAATAATTGGAAGGTCAACAAATAATTAGATTTTTCTCAATTGATTTTTTTGAATTTTTACCCCAAAAAAATTAAAATACAGAAATCTTACCCATCTAATCTATAAATGTGGACAAAATTAGAAAAGGATACAATTTCTCGCTTTTTTTTTTTCTTTTTTTTTTTTGTTTGAGAAAAAAATAAAAAAATCTAAACACTTTCTCATACTTTCTTATCATTTCTCACCAAATCCCTTCATCCAAACAGAGCTTTACTTCTAGCAGAAAGCCCAATGTAATTTTTGGAGAGGTTGATCTACTCTCCACTATGCTCATGTCTTCCTCCGGGTTCTATTTCTTCTTCAGGTATGTATTGCTGTGTTGCTCATTCTCATCTCTTCCTTAAAACCCTCCTCTCTCTTTTTTTTGTTTTTTATTTTTTGTACATCTTTTAGATTTGATCATACAAAGAAAGACGGGTTTAATACTTGTGAATTTTTTAGCTGTTTTAATTGAATTTTAAGATATATGTTGTGGATGTTCTCTGAATACAGTTTTATTGTCAAAATATATTCCATATATGTCTTATATATTATTTTGAATTGTTCAAGTGACAAGAGAAAGTGATTTGAGTGAGAACCCTAAAATCTTTGTGGACCCATTACCAAAAATTGCACTGGATCTTAGTTTGTGAAAGAGGGGACCGGAAATCTTGTGGGGTAAAAGAATCAAAGAAGTAAACACACACACATATATATAATCTTCTCGTAGAACAATTGATTTTATCTGATTTACCAGTACAGTACAGGTAAATTTTATATTATTACTAGCAGCGGGTGCAAACTCGATGTGTTTGCAATTGTAGATCTAAATTTTTTGATGGTTTTATTAATGAGTAAGATGTTAATTTTGAAATAGTTTAGTAGATAGTTACTGAAGTTTTAGCGGTTAACAATTTTATGTGTGTTCTTCGAAAACAAAAAAGCATGCCAAAGCTTTAAGTTTTAAGTTGTGTGATAGTCTAGATAAATTCAATTATAGTTAAAATTTGAATTTTGGAATTAAGAGTACATATTATTGATTCAATCCCAAAGAATAGTAGTTTTGAGTAATAATGTACTTTTTTTTACCAACATGATCTTCACATGAGCATGGAGTCTCAGCTCATGGTGGCTGATACAATGACTAGGCTATAATTTGGTTGGCATTTTCAAAGTGCATGTATTGTGTTTGGGAGAGATTTTAAAGCACTTTTTGTTCAATGATGCAAATAAGTTCTTTTTAGTTGCTTCCAAACCAGTCCTAGTTAAAAAAAAAAAAACTGGTGCAACTGACACTTTAAAATGGATACCATGTCCGTGTAGGACACATATGGGACACCGACGCACCGGGGACATGCATATCAAAGTGTTAAACATGCCACATGTCGTGTTCATTTTTTTAATTATTATTTTTTCGCAGGATGCTTCGGGGATATTTCATAGACACGTGTGTCCATTGTTTGGAGACGCCTCAAGATACATTTGTGAGTTTCTTTTTTATAATTTTAGAAAGATGACTTGGGGTTAAAGTAAAATATATGAAAACAAAGGAGGAAGTGAAAATAAATAAAAATACACCCACATATATATTGATGCATCTTATATCTCTGTACTCTAAAAATTATATTTATATCCATAGCAAATAAAAATATATAAAAAAATTGTTGTATCCCCTCTATGTCTGTATCCTAATTTGTTCAAAATTGCCGTGTCCTAGCTTTTGAGCTAGCACCTAATTCTTACTACTTTTCAAGGAATTTATTTGTCTAATAACCTTCATAAATTTGCTTGAACTTATGTAGATATAGGCCAATTGATCTTCCACTCGAATAAGCTCTTTCAAAAGTGAACTTTAGGAAGCAAAAGCAAGATTTCCCTACTCATATAATTAAAAATGAGTGTATACATGTTTTTTATTTTTATTTTTAAAGTTGATTTCAAAATATTAGGAGGATTAAAATGAACAAATTTGCTGATACATGTTTTATGTCATGTTGAGACAAGCTTTTGATATGGATTCAATGGACTCGTGCAGTCTGGACCCTATGGTACCTTAAAAAAGAAAAGGGGAGAGTAATTTGTCAAAGTCCTTGTTGACATGACTTAATTGACCCTTGATTGTAGTTTTTGATTTGATGTGTTCACTTTTCCTTATCACTTTTACATGTGCAAATCCATTTAGTCTTTTGAGGTTTCAATAAGCTTGCCTTTCACACTGAAGGGATCAGCATCCAGTCTCTAAATGGTTCGGTAAAAGTGATTGTTTGGGTTATTCTATTGCAAATTCATTTTGAACATGATTTAGGATCCCAAAGGCATGATGGAAGTCCTTTTTTGAAAAGCTTTTACTATTAGACTAACGCTTCATGTGATCAGTAAAAAATATTTTCTTACAAAAAACATTTTTTAGAAAACATTTTATGTTTGGTTGCAACCTTGAAACTAATGTGCTAGTGGTTGTAGTAGTGGTGGTGTTCGTGGGGAGGCCGTGGTGGCGGTGGTGGTAGTAAGGTGGTGATAGTGTGATGGTGTTGGTAAGAGTTTAGCGTGGAAAGTGTTTTCCACCTTTTAATGGTGGAAATTTTTTTAGCCCAGATAAACTTATTTTTTATTGACCATGGAAATGTTTTCAGTCTTACCATATGCCAAAAAATGCTAATATTTTTCAGAAATGTTTTATGCCAAAACGAACGGAGTGTAAAGTAGGAAAATAACCTTAGCCCTATAGAGGGTGTCCCAAGCGTAATAGAAGCAAGAGTCACAGAGCTTTTTTTCCATAATTAATGAGTGGTCTACAAGAAAAATGTGTACATCTTATTGTCCATTCTAATTTTTTGTGAATAATGTTACTGTTTTCCCACCTGCTTGTCCTTCTTCGTACATAAGTGGGACTGAATATGCGGCTGCAAATCATTATGCTAATATTAGAGGTATAAATGTATCTATGTATTCATTTTTACATCAAATGTTGTTGTGTCAAGACATTATTGAGTTGTTTGAACCTCTCACAGCTTTACTACTTTTTTTTTTCAGAGACAGCTGGAAGTAATATTACTGTAGCCAGGACACCTCTGGGAAATAGAACAAAAATGTCCTTCCAAACAGATGCATGAGACAAAGGCCATGGCTGGAAAATCAACTAAGGAGTGTACAAATGCATGTAAACCTTGGCAGTTGATGCTACTTTCTCAAACATTTTCTGATTATGACAACTTTTTTTTTCTTCCCCCATATAGAAAAGTTTCTTCAGTTTTCTCTCAGTTTTTCAATAAACTCAATGAAGATATTCTCTAGCCTGCATTTTTTTTTTGCTGTATTGTTTACTATCAAGTTTTGTATTTGATGATGGAAAAAGCGGCGCTTCAATTGATTAATAATAACAATTTATTCAATAAGCCTAAAATTGACACAATTCAGTGAATTTGAGAAACACAAGATAATGAAAAACTTAAAAGTAGAATTGACTATGGAGTGGAACTTAATCAGCTGTCTTTGGAAGTGATTTCTAATCCCACTAGATTATCTAATGTATATCTATATGGCGTAGGAGATTCAAGATAAAAAATGTGTTCGTACCACTAGTCAATGAATTGAAACGCTGATAGATATGATCCGAATTTGGTGTTGGAAGATAATAATATTGTTAAAGAAAAGGTTCAACACATGGGTGTGAAATGTTGACTATAAAAACTATAATGATGGTTTTTGAATTAATGTATCAATATATGAAACTAGGAAATCAATCCAACATTTGTTGTCATAATGAGAAGATGAAACAGAGGTAGAAAATAGAGCAGGACATAGGCCGCTCAATCACCCACTTGAGTAGCTTTTCTAGTAAGTCAAACTGCCAGTCCATCCCAAGAGGCTGCCCGATAGTATGCTCGAGCGACCTTTCTAGCAAGTAAAACTGCCTTTTAGAACCGTATCCAGCTCAAGTACTCTAGTCTGCTCGACCAAGTTTCTTGATTAAGTAAAAATTTGAAGCATTCTGACACTAGAAACTACTTCTCTCTCAACAAGTCCGCTTTTGGTGATTGCTTTGTTTCATTATCGGTTTTGCTCTATAATGGTGAAAGAACACACATATAGTGAAACCTCAATGACCATGGACATAACCCTAGATTCAGGGTGAACCACATAAATCTTATGTTCTTGCATGTGTGCAATTTACAATTCTTCTTTATTGTTCTTTGTTTTTCATGTTTCACTGATCCTGATTAGGTGCTTTACAATTCCAAAGAAAAAAAATCTGCGTTATCAAACAAGATTATGTAACTAATTGGGACTCAAAGTTATAAACATTTCCAAGATACCCTTTTCTATATGATAGAGGTTGCTCTGTTATGGTATCAGAAAGATATAGGATCATAACTTACACCCCCCACCCTATTTCTCAGTAATTTAAGTTTCCCTTGCCATTTTCCCAAGAAAAATAAATAATGGGAAAAAAAATTACATACCAGAGCTAGTTCACTAGCTGCTGGTTGCTCATATGGATATATAAGCTTAAGCTTCATTCAAATATGATCAGTACCCACAAACTTACCAAAAAAAGATCAGTATCAACAAATTCTTATTCTTCTTCTCTAATCATTCTCATCTTGAAGAAAATAGCTCACTTCCTGGAGTAACCGTAGTGGAACCCTCACCCATTACCGTGGTGAGTGTGATCTCTTTGTCAAGTATTCTATCAAGCTCTGAGACAACCATTTCCATCTTTGGTCTCCTTTCTCCTGGAAAACTCATGCATTGCAGTGTCAGCCTGATAAAATCTTTCATTACCTCTGTAGTGAAACTTCCAACTAGTCGACGGTCCACAAAATCATTTGAACTTAAATGTGTTTCCACCTTCATAAAGTTCAGAGGAATTATAAAATTTAGAAACTGATACCGTTTATATGTTCCTGGAATAAGTCAAATGACACACTGCTAGATAGGAAGCTAACTATAAAACTATGCTTTTAGCTCATGTGTGAACTTTGTGTTTAATATAACAACTATGCTTTTAGCTCATTTCCTCTAAAATGGTTATAAGTTATAACCAAATAATTTAAATACACATTTCTGAATTAATTCCTTGAAACCTTGGAGTAGAACATCAGAATAGATATAAATGGCATAAATTCCTAGTAAATCCTTTATGCTAGAGACAAGATCCTTTTGTTTCTATTCTAATGCAAATACGAGCACGATGTGTTTTACATTTCTAGAACTAGTAATGACATGGTTGTGATTTTACAAAGTTCCTAATTGCTACTGCATATTATAAAGTTTATGTAACCTAATTTTATAGCTTAGAATTGAATAAGTTGGAAGCTTTCAGGATTATCACCACTAATGAACTTATATTGGAAACACTTGTAAAATTTTGTTGTTATTATCAATTTCAAAGTTGTCATGTTCGTGTTGCTAGTTATTTTCAGGTTTTTTCCTAGTCTTTCTTTTGTCACATATATTTCAAGGGTTAAATTTGCAATATAAAAATAAAACAACAACAAAACCTGTCTAAAGCAGACAAATAATGAAATGATTTTTTGCATACCCATTGAAGTATACTTTCATTAGATCCGAATGAGTCAATATGTGAAGCCTCCCGACCAGTTACAAGCTCCAAAAGGAATACCCCAAAGCTGTACACATCGTTCATTTCAGAGAAATTCCTCATTTGGTCTACCCTAAATGTGAATACAAAAATAAAAAATTAGGTCAAAATTGTTCTCCACATAAGCAAATAAAAGAAAACAAAACAAAATTTTGTTTACTCCGGATCTTGGAAAACATTGCCGCTGGCCCTGCTAGATGGACCTGCATCGTCTATTCTTTGAAGTAGTTTGCAAACCCCTGCATCTGCAACTTTAGCAATGAAGTTTGCATCAACCAAGACATTTGCTGTTTTAAAGTTTCCGTGCACTATGGGAGGCTTCTGGCTATGCAAGTGGCATAAACCTGCATTAGCAGCATGTACTTTCTTTGAGTATCCCATTTTTTTTAAACTCTTGACAAAACCAAAACATTTTTTTGCCAGCTTGTTTTGGTAGTACCTTTAGCTGCCCCAAGACCTATGGATAGCCTTTGCTTGAAGTCCAGTTTTGTTGCCGAGTCCTCTCCTTTATCTGTCAAACAATGAATCAAGTATGATTGTCTAGTGCACAATTAACCACTTCTATATATAAATCTACATTTTAGTACACATAAATCACTTTATTAGATGAGTCGTCACTCATACCATACAAATGATTGCACATGCTGCTGCCATTAGGTAAATGTTCGAAAACTAACATTTGATATCCACTTTCCTGACAGTAACCTAGGAGTGCAAGTAGGTTGCGGTGCCAAATCCCTGATAAGTAAGTGACCTGTCATTCAAAATTTTAGAATTACAAGCTCCAGGAAACAATTTGTGCAATCAGTTTAACGTGTACGAGGATGGAATTTGAAATATTTTGTTTCATTATACTGAAAAGAAGAAAAACAAAGCAGAAGAAATTTCACTTCCAAAAGTGACATGAATACTTTCCACTAATGCAGAAAAGATCAACCGGGAACAGATGGATTGAAATGAGAAATTCACTGTTGATGAAATGTAGAAATGATGTGATTTATAGGTGTTTTGATTTGTCTTCTTATAGGATTGATGAGGGAAGACAAAAAACGGGGCCATCTAGATATCATGCATGCTGTAGTTCTCAAACCTCTTCAACAAGTTCTTGTCGAGGGACACCAGAACGCCTTTTGATAGCCACAAAATTGCCATCACGAAGAAGCCCTTTGTAAACAAGGCCAAAACTTCCATATCCAATGAGATTGCTTTCATGGAACAGATTGGTAGCTTGCTCCAACTCTTCCATTGTGAACTGTGTAGCTCCGTGTGGTCCAGGCACGGGTGGGGTGGCTGCGGATGAACTGGGTACACCTCCTCTTTTCCTCTCCACTGTAATATTGATTTTTTCAGGGAATTAGAACATGAATTGGCAATTGGGTAAATCCCCATCTGATCAGACCTTACCTGTTGCAGGTGGCTCTGAAGAACCCGTATCTGAATTCCTGTTTGATAAATTTCTACACTGCGATATACAGTAACATGCGATGCCAATAGCTATTGCCAGTACTGCTAGCGCCCCGACAACACCTCCAACTATGGCCGCGAATGAGTTTGACATCCGGTAAATGTAAGTCCTCCAATTCCTCCTCAAACCTGAACATTTGAACCTGTGATATAGAAGAACTAGATAGTTATTTAGAACCAGTTTACTTAAAATCTCAGTGATACCAATATTTAGATCCACAGCTCAAGTGGTTCTCTTGATTTGAATGAAATAAGCCTTCTGTGCTTGTTTCGCCGACAAAGTGCTCAGATAGGTGAACTGGCTGATCTCAAAGTATCCACATAGGAAACAGCTATTGTGGTGAGGGATTAATGCTGCCAATTTTTTTCTTACAAAGAAGAAAAGAGGACAACTCACTGGCTTTTCATGGTATACCCCACTCTCTCTGCTGTCTATTGTTCAGTATGTCACTGAAGATGACCCATTACTAAGAACATCCTGTCCTCTTTGCATGAGAAGCCCCTGTTTTTTATATGGTTTTGTTTGTTGGTGAGTGAGGGGGCTATGTTACACGGACTCTTCATAACAAATCAAATATCTGTGTCGGACACTCGACACTTGGACAGGGGTGTGGGATGTGTCAGATGCTTTCTATCGAATACTTCTTACATAATTTGTATTTAATATATGTTGGTGTGTAATTGTCTTAAAATTCTTTTGGATACTGTATGTTATATATAACACCATTTTATCTCTCGCAATATATTAAAAAAATAAAAATATGACCTTTTTTTTTTATTGTGTCTATTTACACAACCGCACCCGAGTCCATGTAACATAAGGTGGGGGAGGCCTGTGATTCTCGAAACTCGAGTCAAAATTATTGGTCTACTACCTCTTTTTACTGACAGAGACAATGCATGTTTGTTTTCCTCAGTATGGATTCCATACAAACCCTACAAACAGTGTTTGTACTTGCATACTTCTGGTACCTCAGGCAAAAAAAAAAAAAACAGTGGCTTAGCAAGAACTTAGATGGGCATTTCTCAGGTAAAATAGACCATTTCATATACACTTTCTCATGCATATATATTTACACATAGTTATGGATTATGGAAAACCCCACATGTGGATCCTTGATAAATACTGAACACTAACCATTTGATCATGATTCACAAATATTCACAATTTTTGCTCTGTTGCCCTAATACTATGTATTTAAAGTTGAAGTGTCACACCTTTTTGTATTGTATTGGAACTCTTTTCAGGTCATAGTGAAACTGCAACGACAACCGTGGATGTAGCCTTAACCACATAAATCTTTGTGTTATTATGTGTTTGATTTATATTCTTGTTCGATTTTTGTTTGTGTTTTGTGTCTCATCGATCCTAGTTAGTTGTATCAATTTTTAACAGTTTAATCTTTTACACAGCTCCCAAACCCGGAAAAATAGAAGGGTTATGAACATGAATCCTAATATAAATATGCAAGTTGATATAGATTAATGGAAGTTGGTGTCATCATCATGATGGAATCTCTGTACAAAGGAATCAATGGCCTTTTTGATTTGCTGTTACTGAACTGTAACATTTGTGTTTTTTTTTTTTACTATGTGGATGTGGACAGTGATGAAAGTGACTTTTATTCGAGTGGGATTGGAGGGACATCATTATTGAAGTTGAAGGGGATCAAAAGAAAAGGTAGTTATCAGTCTATCAATTCTGCCCCCTCAATTTAAGTGGGGTTTGGCAATTACTTTTTTAGTATTTATTTAATTTATAAAAGATCACAAGGGTGATGATTGTTAAAAAAAAAATTACCTTTTGGGTCTTTTCAAACTTGGTTTTTGGTGAGAAAAGTGGAGCCATTATGGGGACATGATGAAATTTCTGAAAGTATTGAGAGCAAAATTGTTTTTCACAAATTTGCTAAAAAACTGCTCTTTTTTTTTTTTAATGGAGATTATATACTTTTGACACTTTTAGCAAAAAAAAAAAAAACTACTTAGTTCTTCCCAAACAGAGCCTAAGCCACTGTTTATTTACTCTATCTGCTCTTTTTTTCTTTCTTTTTTTTTCTTTGCCTTTTTTTTGTCACCTGGCCTGGAAAGAAGAGAGTGAGTTCCTATTTTTGTATTGAGTGATAAGACTGTTCCTTATAGGGATCAGAACAGCTGAGCCAGATTTTATTTATTTATTTATTTGTTTGTTTATTTATTTATTTATTTTTCCTTCTCCTTGCTTACTTTTGTAGATTGAGCTGTAACTAGAGGCTGGTTCTAGTTACAAAAATAACTTCTTTCCAAAATGGGGTAAGGTTGTATAGATGCCTTTCTCATAGCCCGCTTTAACAGAAATCTCGTGCACTGAGTTGCCTTTTGATCGAGCTGTAAGGCTGTATAGATGCATTTCTCGAATCCTGTTTTAACAGAAGTCTTGTGTACTGAATGGGCCTTTGATCGATCTGTAATTAGGAAGTGTTGTTGAAGTCTGAAAGATTCTTGAGCTGTAAGGAACCCCCCCCCCCCCCCCCCCCCCCCTCATATTTACTTGTTTTGTATGTTTTTTGTCTTTTGATTTTGTTGTGTTTTGTGTTGGGCTGGAAAGCAGACGGGATTGGTGGAAAGGAAGTTGCCAGACTGGATGTAGAAGGCTCATGTCAGAGCAATAAGTCTAAGAATACAAAAATCAAACGCAAAATCGGATATAAAAAATAAACAATGGATAGGATTTTTGAGAAGTGGACCCCACAAACAAATCTGGTCGATTCATGTATTTTCTATGTCTGATTATGTGTTTGGTTTAGCATTGTTGTGCTAGACCAATTAGCTTCGGAATAAAGAGACCAAACACAGAAGCGGCCACAGAAAACAAATGGTTGGATAGGGTTTTTGAGAATTTAACCATTCATGTGTTTTCTGTCTCCGGTTATGTGTTTGGTTTCTAGCATTGTTGTGTCAGAGCAATAAATCTGAGAACACAAAAACCAAAAATAGAACCGGACATAAAAACCAAATGGATGAACATGATTTTTGAGAAGTAGGCCTCACAAACAAATCTTGTTGATTCATATGGGTTTTGTGTCTAGTTTTGTGTTTAGTTTTTGTATTCCTAGCATTGTTGATGAGGGAGCGCGAAGGGTTTTGTTGGGAAATGTGGGTATCTCAAACGGGATGTTTGTTTGGATCTGTACTCTGGAGCTTGGCAGCAAGTGAGGATGTTTTTACAAAACGTTTTTCTTAAGTCCACAGTTTTGTTCTCATGAGCTGAATTGTAGGTGTTAAAAACAGCAGAGTTATTTGGGTTTTTGCATTGCTGGCCAAACAGAGCAGCAATTCAGGTGGTCCTAACTTCAGACCAGCTAATCTCATTAAAAAAAACCTCACAACCAAACAGTACTCTTCTCTTCAACTTCAAATGTTGTTTTGCTTCTCATTCACTTGCCTGAGGACTCCTAAAGTTTAAACTGTGGGAAATCACCTGATCTTGCAATATGGAACCATCTGATATTTGATTCTTCATTGTGGTGTGGGGCCCATTTTTCCTGGGGTTTGTTTGGCTACCAGGCTGTCTGAGTAAATGATACATTTGCTTTTTTGTCATATTTGTGAAAGATTGATAGTAGTAGTAAAAGAGTGATTAGGGTCTCTGGACCATAAAATGTCATTTCTTACTTATTAGAGGTAGTTGATAAGAATGGAACAAGAACAATTTGGATTTGTAAAATAAAGAACATGAAATGAAATAAGAAGTGGGGCCTATTTGTTTTTTTTTTTTATTTTTGCCTCCCGATTTTTGTTTCCATTTTTCATGTTTACGGAAAATAACAAGAAGTTTGAAACCACTTAATTGTTTTGACATTGTTTCTATTTTTGTGTAAAAGTAATTTTTGAATATTCAAATTAAACTTTTTCGGTGTTTCCTAAAAGTGAGTTATTTTGAATAAAAAAAAATCCAAAGTTATATTCATAAACACTTTGCCAAACAAGTTTGTTTTTGAAACAATGAACTCAACAGTCCCCATAATTTTTATATCCAAACACAATCCAAGTTAAAAAGAAACCCATTTGGGATTATTGCCATATGTCAATGGGTGAATTGTTGATTTTCTAAAACCTAGGAAAATTGTGCCTTGTGAATAAAATTTACAATTTTATTTTACCAAAAAAAAAAGATTCAAAATTAAAATTTCTAGTTCAAATTACCTTTAAGGGTTACTAAAAGTTTGCACGATTATTAATTTTAGTATTTCAAGATAAGTCGTACCTAGATATGCCTATTTATTAAAAAAAAAAAATTTGAAAAAGGTGGGGGAGGGGGAGCTTGAAACTTTGAGATCTGCATGTCAATTCAAATGAAAATGATCTTTGATCAACCAAGCACTGAAAATTGCAGTGGAGTTCCAGAACTGCCCTTGTCTTTTGTGTACCTTTCCCTCAATGTGCCCTTTGATGTGTCATAGTCTTTGTAGGTCATGCATGAAATATGAGTTTGACCCTTCTAGGGGTACTTTGGTAATTAAAAAATAGGCAAAAGTGAAGCTTTTAATCAAGGTATTATTATTGCTCTTATTGTTGGCTCATCCTTATCCTACATATTCAATAATTGTTTCAATTACAAAATGTTGGTGCTTTATTTTTGTTATACACATCTTGATTAGTATCTTTTAGTTTTTTTTTTACCAATTGGTGGGAGAATAATTATAAATAGAGAAAGAATTATAATATTATATCAAATTAGATAATTATAATAAATAATCAATCTTTGTCTTTAATAAGAATGGACTCCCGATATTTCTAATAGAAAGTGCATAATAAGAATCAATTAAGCTAACTCAATTTGTTATCTCATTCTCAATTCTTGTCTGTTTTTTGAATTAAAATGAACTGATTGGGATTAAAAAAAGCAATAGTTAATGTTAAATATCCAAAAATATTTCCAAGAAAATTACTTAAAATAAAAAGAGTAGTTAAGATTTAATTGATGTATTATCGGATCCAAATATAAATTTGGACTACACATTATTATTTTTTACTCCCTCCGTCTCAAAATACTAGTCCCTTATTCTATTTTTCATTATCCTAAAATATTAGTCCATTTTAAAAATCAATAACTAAAATAATATGAATTTTCTATTTTGTCCTTCTTTTAAATTCATTAACAACACAAAAAGTAAAATTATGACAATTAATATTTTCTAAAAAAATGCACTATTGAAAGATAATTTTTGAAAAATTAATTTTTTTAAAATGTAATAATTATATTATCAAAAAAAATTAATTTTTTCAAAAAGAACTATTATTTTGGGATAAAATGGATAGTTAAATTCTCAATATGTAATTATTGTCTTTTCTTATTTCATGATATTCAACCTCCTCCTACAAAAATAATCAGAGGTGGACTAGTTATTCCCATCGTGACATCTTGGTTTGATTAGCATCATTAGTCAAAAAAACAAAAAAGAAGCTTAAATAAAAAATAAAATAAAATAAAAAAATTTGATTTTTTTTTTTTTTCTATTTTCTTTTTGGTGGAAGTGACTTTGATCTTTATGTGTAGGACCTGTCGAGTGGGTTTTGATTTGATATATGAAATGATAATTTTATTATTATTATTTTTTATAATAAAAATTGGCTAGTATATGGTGCCTGTGAGAACTCTACTTATGTGTAGGGTTGTTAAAAAAACACTTAAATGATTCAAGTTTGGTTCGTTATCTAAACAAATTAAAATTACATTAAATTTGAATCTCTTATTACATGCCCGATTCAATTATATGTATTATAAAAAATTAAAATACTCAAACTTAATATATGATCAACTTAATTTAAGATTGGCTCAAAAGATAAATAACATATATTTAAATAGCTTTTGAAACTAATTAAGTTTTAAAACTAAACTTAAACAAATTATTATTAAGCTCCACTTGTCTCATTTACAACCTTACTAGCAATTGAGCCATCAATTATACTTAAATGATTTTTCTTTTTTACTTTTGCAATTATCTTTCAACTAGCATATCACCCATGCTATGCACATGATAAAATAATATATTATTTAATAAAAATATGATAATTATATTTAATTTTTTTGTATTATGTAAAATAAAAGTTAAATGGAAGCTAGTCAATTGGAATTTTCGTAATTGTTTAAAATTAAGAAAATCAAAAAAATTAGTATGAGATATTGATCATAAGGCTTCTCACTAAAAATCTCATTTTGCTAATATAAATAGGAGTATAAGATTCACTTTATGTAAGTGAAACAATTCACTTTTTCCTTGGGATTATAAAATAAAAGTTAAATGAAAGGTAGCCAATGGAGATTTTCTTAATTGTTTAAAAGTTAACAACTGTTTAGACGGAAAGTTTATTTTGAATCAAGCAATCTTAGTCGTTTAATTTTTAATTAGGTCAATCTTTAATTTATTTCGAATCAAACAGATTTAACCAATATATTTTGATAAAACTGCTAAAATCGTAGTTAAACTAGCGAATCAGTCAAACTGAAAATGGTTCACCATATCGGCTAGGTCAAAGAACAAACCAATTTATACAAAAATTAATTAATTATAACTTTTAAATTTTATTTTAATTTTAAAATTTAAATTATCTTGAACTGGAACATACACAACACTACAATATTAAATGGAAGCATAAGATTTATATAGTGAAACAACTCATTTTTTCTTTATTTTCTTGATGTGGAATTATAAAATAAAAGTTAATAATTGTTTTGACGGAAAGTTCATTTCTAATCCATCAATCTCAGTCGTTCAATTTTTAATAAGGTCAAACTTAATTTTTTCAAATCAAACAAATCTAAGTCATGTATTTTGATAAAACAGCTAAAACCGTTGTTAAACCAGTGAATTAGAAAAATCAAAAACGATTCAGCCTAATCAGCTAAGTCAAAAGACCAACCAATTTATAATAAAATTAATTAATTAAAACCATTAAATTTTATTTTAAAATTTAAACCATCATAAACTGAAACATACACAATCTATATATTATATAAGGAAAAGAGACTTTTTAGTAAGAAGCCTTTTAAGAGCTCCAAATCTTCATTCTAATTTTCTTTATTTTGTTAATCTTAAATAATTACTTGTATTTGATAATCCCACATCGAAAAAAAAAAAGAAAAAAAAAAGAATTATTTTACTCATATAAAAAAAATCTTATACTCCCGTCTCTTTTAGTGAGGAGCCTTGTGAGGGGTTCAATATTTCATATTAATTTTCTTGATTTTCTTAATTGTAAACAATTAAGAAAATCTTCATTGGTTAACTTTTAATTAATAATCCTACATCGGGAAAGAAAGAAAAAAGTGAATTATTTAGGTTGGGATAGTTTAGGTTAGAAGTTTTTATCATAGTTTAAGTTGATGGTTCACCAAACTGAACGGTGAAAATATGCATCTCTAATAAGAGGTCAACTTATATAATTTAAAAGTTTTTTTTAATAATTAATGTTGTTATTATTATAATAAAAGGGTTTCAAAATTTGGACCCATCTTCCTCAATTGGGTCCATCCTACTTGCATGACTACAAGTAATTATATTTTTAAAACAATATTTTGCTCAAAATGCAATGATGCAAGTTAATTCCACGATTATGACTGCATGGATGACAATGTAACAAGGCACATGTCGGAGAAGAGAAGAGGTCAGTTGATTGACTTTGATTTATTTTCAGTTTTTATTAGCAATCCCTATTGTTTAACCTATATAAAATGAAT